TAGCATTGACCGGCAATTGATTACTTGAAGCCCAAGCGGCTAACTGAATGAGGTCCCGTTTCAGGGCGGCTACGACGTTAGCACTTCTGACATTGCGCCATATTTTCAGATCGTCGGCGCACAAGACGAACGGTGAGGATGGGCATTGTTTAAGATCCTGAACGTAGACGGAGAACAAAGTGGGGCCGAGAATGTATCCTTGAGGAACCCCAGATGATGCGATCTTGGCAGGAGATAATACACCTCCGACACTGACACTCCATGTCCTATCACTCAAATATGACTGAATCCAGTTCAGAATGTTGCCACTAATACCAAGAGTCGCTAGCTTGTGAAAAATGTATTATTGATTCCAAAGTGTTCGGTTAGAGTTTTGGTTCAAAATAAACGTTCCAGAGCCCTTGTTCAGTATTCTTTACACAAGAAAGTTTTTATTTCGTTCGCGTTCATAGAGTGGGCAGTTTTTGATGCGAGAAGTCGAGGTCATTCATTAAACAAGGAAATGAATTTTGACTACCTGTTAACACTGGCACCCTTTGAAGCCCAAATCAAACGTCTATTAATGCAAATACTAAAATGACGGCCAGAAAGGTATGTACTAAATTTTTTCAGCAAAGATATTGCCTCTTCATAATTCATTTCACCGGTAGAAATGACAATGCTTTTCAATATCACTTGGCATTAGGTCGCAACTTATCTGCAAATTTCGGTGCCTAAGCTGTAGATCTTGTACCTTCATTTTCAGGTGTTAATTTTGTTTAAATTTTCTACGTATTTCTCTTGCCGCACTTCTTGGAAGCATAACACATTTCCGACAAAGCCTCACGTGGCGCGTTCTGACGATTCCAAGATATCACTTGCATTATCTGCTCTGCATCTTCTCACCAGTCGTTCTTCTCCCCGCCCGTTCAATGACACCTTCATCTGGTGATCAACTCAGGATCAACTGACTGTGATCGAAACGCAAGCTTCCTACAACAATTCCTGCTCCTACACCTGGTTTGTGTATATGCATAGTACATATGTATAGTTGAAGGGTAACAGGTAAGGAATGCCCTTGAGGACCCCACTAATTTTAAATAAACCAAATCATTGTAAATGTTTCCCATCGTCGGGCCGATCTAAGCGCATCGCGCCCAAATAGTTTGCCAATACAAGCGAACATCCGTGTCCCAGGAAGCAATTGAGAA